ATGTCCATTCCAGTTTTCATTTTCCGTTCTCCTCTTTGTTTGTAGAATGCTACATTTCCTGTCAAGCCCTTAAAACTGACCTAGAAACAAAGTCAAAATGTAATTGACTAACGCTTAGCAATAGAATAAGAAAAATTGAGACTGAGCTTTTTCGAGAATTATTTCATTTGGGGGATGGTTGTCGTACATACTTGTTTTTTTTTTTTTTTTTTTTTTTTTTTCATATTTTTCTTCTTATCAGGAGATGGGATTTCCACAGAACCAAAGTGAAGCAGCCATCCAGGCTTATGGCACAGTTCAAGCTGCCTTGGAAGCACTGCTTGCCGGGAAAGGTGAGGGGAAAAACGAGAAGAAATACTAACGAGACTGTGTCACGCTTTGCCCATCTTGTAAAATGAAGTCAAACCCCTTCAAGTTCGTTCGCAATCGGTTTCGATCTTGTCCATCCCTTGGCCATCCTCGTTCCTTCGAAATTTATTAGTGCCTTCCTTGCCTTGTACTTTCTTAGCAATTGAATGTTTTGTGATCCTGTTCAAAGCGAAGGTAGTTTTTAATGTCGAAGGAAAAAAAAAGTCGATCCCTCCTGGCCTAGCGCTTTTCGAGTGATCACACCGGCCAATTGGAGGAAGAAAAATGCCTCTAAGGGCCAATGAGAACTCAGTAAAAACAACCAAAGTGTTTTAGAACATAGCTAGCAGAGCCGCGCAATCAAATTCAACATACGTAAGCATGCTCAAAATCCCGATAGTGCACGCTGATAGCGTCAGCAAATCGCTTTGCCAGAAATTTTTTTTCGCGCGAGCGCCCGTTGTTAGCGCGGGGAAAAATAACATATTTCGTGACAATAATGGATACAAACAGACTCGGCCCACTTGTCCCAAAACGAAGACAATTTTCCGACCTTTCCCCTCGGGCTAGAGTTCTTAAATGAGGAAGAAAAAGAGAAAAGCAACGGAAAAGGAGACTCGGCATCAGCACCGTTACGATTGGCTTCAATTGATATTGTCCGTTTTTCGCGTCGGATTTGATGCACAATTCCACCGGCTATGTTCTAAAACGATTGGTTCATGCTTTTAGCTGTGCGCTATCGAGTTATGGAGCACGTGGGGAGTTTGGAGAGCACTCAAGAAGCTAGAGTTGCCCTCGGCTATTGCCTCGGGAAACTCTTAAGCTACTTTCGTGCTCTCCAAACTTCCCGCGTGCTCCATAACTCGATTGTGCCCAGCGAAAAGCATGAACCAATTGTTAATTAAGCGCGGGAAAACGCGGTCGACCAAGTCGTGATTGGTTTTAGTTTTGCATCTGATTGGTTAAGGGAGTGGTGCAAGTTTTCTGGGCCAATCACCGAGCGATAGAAAGCGAAACCAGTACAATCTGGCAGTACTATCGACACTTGACAGAAAATTGCTGCATGCGGAGTATTGGGAATGAATGATCCATAGACAAGAGCTGACATTTCTCTCTGAAGGCCTTTCCAATCATTTGCTTGCATTATTTTACTTTATTCTCTGCATGTATATGGTCTCTAAACAGAGGTGTAGTAATACAATCCTTTCGTGCCGTTTATGTAGTGAGTTGCCCAGTTTCAACTGAGATATACGTCTCTGATGGAGAGGATGATACACAAAAACAACAAATGAGGTAACTGATTTTAGAACGATGAAGGTGTGGTTGAAAAGGTATCTACTTTATACAGCGGCTGTTTCTGTTTCTATACAAACTGTTTCTTTATGTTCGCACTTTTAATGGCATTTGTTTATGATATCCTTCGAGAAGAACATATCGGCTCTGCGCTTTTGAAAGTTCGAACCTAAAATGTAAAACTAGTAAAACTGACTTTTGTTATAGCTTTTTACCGATAAATTACTAAGAGTTGGTTTCGGTAATTACACGCTTTGATTTCTTACTAAAAGAAATACGTAGCCGATAACTGAGTAAAATTAAGACCTATCTCTTAGGGCATTTCGGTAAATCTTTTTGCCGTAAGGAAATGTTGTAGCGTCACAGAGCAGGCCTGTTTAGTCAAGGTGGTTGGTTAGGCCGAGGTCTTGACCATCATACAGTCATCCAACGGATATTAACCGTTAACTCCCAGATGTGATCAACATGTAACTTCTCCCCATAATTTCCATACTTTATCCAGCAAATTGGTAATGAGATTTCTGGAAGGTATCAGGTACAAGTTTTCTTGATCCAACTCCAAATTCTCATAACTAATTTACAGCAAAATGTGTAGCAGCTAGATGGGAGAATTAACAATCAGATCTTGGAGTTCAGAGGCTAATTATCTTCTGTTTCTACGCAGAATGGTGGAGAATGGCAGCGTGGATGACGGGCCAGGTCGTTCCTTGTGGGTTGGAAACGTCAATCCTGAGGAAGTCAGCGAAAGGCACTTGGTACAGCTGTTCAGCAGGTGTGGTCGGGTGGACAACGTGCGAATACTCCCTAAAAGATTCTGTGCTTTTGTCAATTACGATCAGGCTGATTCTGCAGCAGTAGCACTCGAAAAATTACAGGTACGTAAGTTTATTTTCTAGTAGAGCCCCTCGAAACCTATAGCAAAGAAGCATGATGCAGCCAGAAGGGGGAGGGGAGGGGGGAGGAGGAAGAAATTTTCATCTGATCTTTTGTATTTAAAGTATGATTTGATTTTGCAGGGCTATGAGATGGGAGGCGAGCAGTTATTATTGAGATATCCCAACAACACAGGCTCCCCAGGAAGCCAGCCACTGGCCGCTGCTTCATTTCTTGGTAAAAAGAAACAACTAGAAGGGTGAGCTATCTCTCGTGGGTTTATTTGTTTATCTGATCAAAGGGAATGACTGTTGTATTTCTCTCAGTCTAATATATGTTTTGTTTTTGTTTTGGTTTTTTTTTAGTATTTTGTATTGATCCTCGAGTCATTGTGTTTGTTTGTTTGATAATTTCCATCGTTGTTCGTTTGTTATTTTCCAAGGTTGTTTGTTTGTTAGTCTGTCAGTCTGTCTGTCTTGTCTGTCTGTCTGTCTAACTGAATGTTGAATTCCGCTCCTCAGAGTCCACGATTTAGGTGGTCAGTTAATTTTGTTGGCATGGACTACACGGATTCAAAATTTCTCTCAACACGGACTAATTTCGCTTGCCCTTTTGATGCTTTTTGTTCCAGTGACTTGAAACAATCGATGAACAAGTTGTCGGGCCCAGTGAACGGAGACGAGTGTTATTTCTGGCGTACGACCGGCTGCTATTTTGCTGACAAGTGCCGATTTAGACATGTTCCCGAGAGTAAAGGGGTCGATCTAAAGAGGGTGGAGGCCAAGTATGGGGGAAAACTCCGAGTGACCACTCCGCCGACCGAATGAAAAAATAATAACAATAACATTAATAATGACTCATAATAATTAAAAAAGTATTGATAACCAATGACAGCTTGGCTGTCAAGATATGAGCCGGGTTGACTCCACACAAAAAAGATAATATTGAACTTTGCAGTTGTCAAATCTTGATTGTTAAATAAACGTTTACAAGTCTTTGTTAGCACTGTTTATATGTGCTGTGAGTCTCGTAACTTAATTTGAGTGTCCATGATGGTTTTATCACCGCAAACTACAATTTTAGAGCCCTAAGTAACTCCGAAGTGATTCAGGGAATGGTGACCTGTACGTAACAAAGAATTGAAAGTGGAACAATTAACTGAGGAAAGACTTCAGAGAGTCAAGATCAACGACTCGTTTGGAGTCTACGATGGCTCTTACTCGACCTTTCTCTTCTCGGTAACGTATTCATGTAATAAGTTGTCTGAAAATAGACGACTTTTTTTTTTAAAGAGGACTAGAAAATAGTTAGAATTTTTCATCATTTGTCATCCATCCCCTAGGACTTCGTGAGGAGGCCGTTCCCTTTTTATTGCCGATTTCCTCTGACATTTCTAATGATTTCTTTACGTAGTCTTCAGCCATGACATATTCTCCTTGCGAACGCAAAACGCAGCTTAAGTCTCTATAATATTGAACTTCTCTTTTTTTATCGCCAACTTGTTTTCCGATGAAAGGGGCCTTCTTGTAACATTCTTAAGACTTGCCGTATTGACCCGCCGAGTGAAGCAACAATGCAAGGTTTGAGTAGCTCGTTGCTTCAATCTCCTTTCTTGTCGCCTATTTCTTTACTTATGGCGTGGGCGTGTTCAAGATATTCTTTAGCCTCGATATGTTTACCAAAACATCGATATAAATTTCCGAGGCCTGCACAATTCTTTGCTTTCCCTTGACGGTCGCCGATTTCTTTTCTAACCACAAGAGCTTTATTGAAATATTCTTGAGCGTTGGTAGACTCACCAAGATCCCCATAAAACTTTGTGAAGTATTCGTAGGATGATTCTATTTTGATTTTAAAAGCTTCGTGATAGCACTCCTTGGCCATCAAGTCTTCACCAAGAGACTGAAACACAGACCCTAAACTATCGAAAGTAATTCCTTCTTTTTTGTTGCCAATTTTTTTGTTCATTAGTAGTGATTTCTCGAGATACTCTTTCGCCCTGTCATATTCTACAAGTTGTTGGTGAAGAATCCCAAGATTCCTATAGCAAGTGGCTTTTTCGTGTTTAGTCCAATAATCAGCAAAATACTTAATGCTTTGTTATAGTATTCGAAAGCCTTTGTATATTTAGCAATGGATCGGCAGACAGTCCCCAATTTTAAAAAGCTCACTGCTTCTCCACGGTGGTGGCCAATTTCTAATGTTAAGGCCAGTAACTTGTGAAAATAACCTTCCGCCTTGGCAAACTCACCAAGAGACAAATACAGAGACCCGAAGCGCTCGTTCAAGGAAGTTTCGCTAAATCTATCGCCAATTTCTAAAGCGATGTCTATTGACTTCTCATAATAAATTTTAGCCCTATTTGAGTCGCCAAGAGATTCGTGGAGACTTCCTAGGCTTTTGCAATTTAAAACTTCTCTTCGACTGTCGCCAGAATCGATGCTAATTGCGAGAGCTCTTTCAAAGTAAACTCTAGCCTTGAAATGTTAACCAACACTAGCCCACAAATTCCCTAGACTTGCGGTATTTTCGGCTTCTTCTGTCCTGTTTCCAAGTTGAAAGGATATTTCAAGAGCCTTTTCAAATAGTTTCTGGGCTTTCTGACATTTGCCGATAGATTTCTGTAAGTCTCCTTGGTTTCTGTAAGTTAGCGCTACGCCTCGTCGGTCACCTACTTCCAAATTAATGGCGAGCACTTTCTTGAAAAATTCTTCGGCTTTAGTTAATTCCCCAAGTGATTGATACACAATTCCAAATGCTCTGAAATCTTCCTCTTCTTTATCGTTGTAACCGATCTTTTCCCTCAGTGCGAGAGAAGCGTCTAGATATCTTTTACTCTCGACGTATTCGCCTTGAAATTTAAGACAGTTTCCAAACACACTACAAGCTACTATCTTTTCTTTTCTATGACCAAGTTGTATCCAGATTTCAAGTGCTTTGTGAAGAAATTCAATAGCCTTAGCATTTTCATGAAGAAAATGAAACACATATCCACGGTTCACGTATTCTGTGGCCTCACCCCTTTTGTCGCCTAATTCAATCCTAATCGCAAGGCTTTCTCCAGATAATGAACAGCCTTGCGATGATCACCTAGACGTTTGAAAACTGTTCCAAGCTCTCCGTAGTCCATTGCTTCCCCGGCTCTATTGCCAACTTCCCTTCTAATCGGAAGTGCTCTCTCCAAATATTTCTTACCTTCCAAGTGTTCACCAAGATAAGAGCACACAGTCCCTAGAGCTCCATAATCTGCTGCTTCTCCTACTCTGTCACCAATTTCCTTCCTAATTTCAAGAGCTTTTTCGTAATATTCTTTAGCCTCGAGATATTCTTTATGTGATCTATACAACTTCCCAAGGCCTGCGTAACAAACTGCTTCACCCTTCCGGTCGCCAATTTGTTTCATCAATTCAAGTGCGCATTCATAGAATTCTTTTGACTCGTCATGAAGCTCCAATTTAATATGGCGACAAATCTTTACCAGTTCTTTGTTGAGCTTGGATGCATTTGCATTATCACCTTGTTTAAGGAGAATGACGAGAAATTTAATGACTTGTTGTATCACGCCAGCGTAATCTTTGCCGAGACAGAAGGCTCGTATCTTTTTACTGAAAAAATGCTGTGATAAAATAGCTTGGTAACGGTATTTTCTAATTCTCCTGCTTTGGTTTTGAGGATGACCAGACATTCCTTGCATGTTTCGATGGCTTGAAGGTAACGCGAGGTGTGCAGAAGGTAACAGGCGACAACTGTGCCAATGCAGATTGCAACTGTGACTTCCAAGGAGTTATTCATAGCATAAGGTTCTGTGGAATGTGGAATATTGAAACAACAAGGCAAATGTTATCACACATTTCGCTATAATTAACTCTGAAAGTAGTAGTTCCCCCCTAAGCCCAACTAGTGGAGCCGCCAAATTAAAACAATCATTCGGTTTTTTTTTTCTTTTTTGTTTCATTTAGCGCTCAAGAAATAATTAACAATTATTCCATGGGCGCACGTTGGATATGCAATGATAAATAGCCAACGAGCGCGTACTCCTCGTTGGCTCTATATAACCAGTCTAGTATCCAACTAGTGCAAATTAAATAATCGTTTTATTAAATTTCATTAAATCCTGAACGTTTACATCTGCAACGTTGGCGCAATGCATTTCCGTATAAGGTGACTCGGAATATAAGTTTAGAGAAGCAATCAGAGCACCAGAAATGCAGTATTCGGCGTTGAAAATTTAATAATAGTTAAATATTCATTGAATTTCGTTCGTGTCCCGTTTAGACACACACCAGTGATTCAAGAGTTCACAACTGTTTTTGATTGTTTTTCTCATTAGCCAGTTAGCGCCTGTCCAAACAGGTCACGACTCACTAGACACTAGACGCTATTTGGAATGTCCTGACCTGTTAAAAAAATTGATTTTTTAGCCAAGAACGAACCAAGAACATTCTGTGGAGCCAAAATGTCATGGATGTTCACGAATACAATTTTAACGTTATAGTACTTCTACCATATGAAATCATTTTTGGTACAACCGTACAAAGCAACTCAGGTGTCTCGTTAACACAGACCTCGAAAACGCAGAACGCAGACCGCAGACCGCACAGCTCGAAAAACGTGTACACAGTGTGTAATTACAAGATTTATCTCCCTTCCCTTTGTTATCAAACGAGATCTCGGAATGCGTCGCGAAACTGAAACTAATTTCATTGACAGTGAGATAACAGATAAAAATAGACGTAAAGTAGGGTAAATTGAATAAACAAAATAAAATAACTAGAAGAGAGAACAGTCAAATTAATGAATGACAGGGTTGTATAAAATTTATGTATTATTATATTTAATATTTTTTAAATGGTTATTTTTATTATTAAGTCATTGAACCACACCCACGACTTTTACCCGCACCCACACCCACGACCACGACCCACGACTTGTACCCACGACCATTAGTCAAACTCCAAAAAATCATGTTTTGAACACAATTTAATTTCTTTGACTGACAGATTCTTAAAACGATTACAAGCAAGTAATGCCTCTCACTAATTATCAATATATACAATTAAAATTCTAAAATTAGTATGAAAATACATTCATAACTTCTTAGCCATCCACAAAGGCTTGTTTAACATCATCAAGCCATCAATATAGTATTAATTATTTCAGATAAATTTTCTCAATGTTACCAAATTCTTTGGTATATTGAGATAATCTTCCATTACTATGTTTGGTTTAAAACTCAGGTCACACCTTGTCCATGTTTAAAACATTCTCAAACGTCTAAATTAAAAGTAATTTCCATCCCAAACAAACCATCCCTATAAAACTACCTGCCACCCGGGACAAATTTACTTGACAAAACATTCACCAAGCCACTTTCCATGAATGAAATCTGATATTATCTGCTACTTAATACATCATGTCAACATCCCAATTCAATATCATAAATTCACAGAAAACAAAGTGAAACATTGTATCAGTACGTGGGAAAGATGGTAAAAGTATAGATAATATGGATGAAATCTGTTTCCAGTCCCAGAATATCGGGATCTTCATAGGAATGTGTCAACTGTTTTGTCCCGGATTGTGGGTACCCTTTCATTATGTAAAATAACCTGCTATAAGTTATGTTAAAATACAGTTAAATTAGGTTACTTTGTCCCCTACAATTACAAATTAAATTCCCCAATGATTGAGATTTTATATCAGATTTATATAGACTCTATTCAAAAATACTGTTATTGTCCAATGATTTTCAAAATAGTCTCAGTTTTAGCTTGTGACACAATGTTTTGTGGAAAATATACAAGAACGTTAGTTAAGTAAAAATAACAGGGGTAAACCTGTATGACTAAGGTTTCCAAATTTTTTTGCAGATTTCCTGCCTTACTGTGATGAAAAAAAATAAAAATTTCATTATATGTTGTGACTAGGCAAATGTTTTCCTATGCTACCCAACCTAAAAGCCTTTTAGCATACAGTATGACCACTGCTCTTCGCCTTTCTTGTTGTACTTTTTCCATCCTCCCTCATTGCATGGCTGTACAATCAGCTGTATAAGGCCAGTCCTTGTACTACGAGGGCTTCTGCTATGTTTTCCTATAAAAGCATGAGCTGGCCTATACCGGTCACATGACAAATTACAAAAAATTGCTGAAGGTTTTATGAACACTTCAAGTTAAATGATGATGCAGGGCTACTTCTATCCAGTTTGACCATTTTAAATGGTTTGATCATAGAAACCAGTTGGAGTATTTTCACTAGTTCAACTATTTTATGTAGTTAAATATGACAAAGGCCAACTTGTGTTATTCACTTACTTTATGACCACATCAATCACTGTCGAATACCCTGTTATTATTCTATTCCTTGGCATGTTTTGAACTACAAAATGCTGACAGTAATTTATTTTGTGCGTTGTTTTCTAAAATCAATTATCAATGCAGTTCTATCCCTGCCTTTGCCTTGTGAATAAATAGTATTGATTCAAGTAAGTTGTTACTTTACATACATAATGGTAATTACATTAAAATAGTTATATTCATTAATTTATTACTGCTGTACATGATGCCGTGGAATTCTAGCATTAAGAGTGAACTTTACTTCTATGACTGAGTGTGGATAGCTTTCAAGAAGTCATTCTATTATTTTTTTTAATTCAACTTACAATTACTTTTTCTATGCTACACAAACAAACACAACCATTTCTATGTGAGTGAATGTGCTATTGGTTTAAAAAAAAAAAAAACCCACAGTTGCTAGAAGTGTAGTCTAGTGAATCAGTGAGACAAGCCCCATACAAGAGATGCCAGCAATCATCATAATAGTCTGTTTCATCGACTCCCTGAAAACAATAAAACAACATTAATATTATTTGTTAAAATACAATTATGTTATAATTATAAAGTAAAGATTTAATCCCACGACAGGCTGGTGAGTGACACTGCGAATTTTGAAATCTTGCCGAAAAACCACCAGTTGCCATGACAGTTCAATTTAGTTTCAGTTAATGAGAAAAAGAGAAAAAGATAACAAAAATACTTATGCAGGCATTTGTAAGGTGTCATTGAGTCAAATACATTTTTTTTTTTGGTGGTCCGAACACCTTCACAAATTACCTAGACTTAAATGCCAAACACACTTTATGTAAATGTTATATGCTGTCGGAAAGACCTTAGGTTGACATCCATTCACCATCCCTTCAAACCACCTTTCCTCCCTCTGGTGTTTGAATCAAAGGAAGTTACAACTGACCCATGCTACTTGATGCAGAGTTTAGGTTTTTAACATTTTCCTGAGGCTTCCAAAATCATCAAAAATTCTTCAATTTATTTTCTAATCTACATGGTTATCGGCCATGCTTATTAGTCTCCTTAATAGCAACTGTTTGATCTTGTCACAAAACATGTCCTCTCCCAGCCCAATGGGGAGAAGAAGAAAGAGAGACAGAGAGAACATGTGACATGAAAAAAGTCAAACAACCCATGGGAAGAAGACTGGAGATACAGAATACAATGCTTTTGGAAGAGCTTACTTTGGTCTTGTTTCCTGTAGAAGATCTGGAACAATGGTTACCAAGGCAATATAGATGAAGCCTCCAGAGGTGAAGGGAAGAACCCAGGCTGTGGAATCACCTAACAAAAAAACAAATAAGTTAAGAGTAATTATTATTAGATAGTTTCTTGCATTCTGTACTGTTAAGAAAAGGTAAGGAAGTTTTAATTCCCCAATTAAGAAGCAGACTGTTTTAGTTTGTTTTAATGTCAGGATCTTACCAACAAAAGATATCAAGAAACAAACAATCTCACCTGCATGATCTGCTATAAGCCCAAAAACACAACCAGCAAGTCCAGCTGATGCTGTCACCATCTAGCAGTAATTTAAAAAAAAAAAAAATTTACGAAATCATTTCTGTTGACTGATTTTAATCTACCTCATTGCCATTCCTATAGCAGAATTTAGCGAACACATGAAGCTGTGTGGAGCATCTTCATACTGTAAATTTGAGTTCCTCTCTTCTCTGACTTCATCAACACATAAGATGACATCTAAGACCGTAGGTTTTAAATTAAAAGTAAACAAGTGAAATAACTTTTCTAATTAAGATATATTTCAAATTGCTTACTTGTCCTACTGCTGCATCCCATCTTCTAAATCCAGATTTTAAAAGGATAGCAAAGTCACCAACCTATTAATAAATTTATAAAAGGAGTATTTTTTTTTTGTTAAAGCAAATGTGGTGCTGCTGGTTTTATCATCTGAGTTCACTCTAACAAAGGATAAAATGCTTGTAACAACAGCTCTAGAAAAATCTTTACTATGCCAAATTTACATTATCAACTCAGTTAATAAAACCAAATTATCTTGTATCAACAAATCATGTTTATAAAACAGTTTAAATAGAATGTTCTACAGGAATACATTGCAGCTGTAATGTGATGAGTACAAAATAATTTATTTATCATAACTTTAAATATTGAAAATAAAATGAAACCAGAAGCTAAAAAAACAAAACAATATTCAATTTGTCAATATGATTATTATGTTTATTAACTTAATCCCAATAATATCATGCACAGCACCATAATAGTCCAAACAATGTTCATGTACACAGATTAAAAGCTTTGACTAAGTGTCCAGTGTACTTACTTCATGTGGTATTTCATGTAAAAGAATTGCACAGGTTGTACACAATCCAACCTGCCATGGGAAATAACAGATTTATCACAAAAGAATATTGATCAGTAAACAATAAATGACCTAGGCTCTTTAGCAGCATAAACACAATAATGTGAACAAATAAATAAAAACAATAATGCCAAGGCAAATAAATTTTAATCACCTGTTGTTGAATTTAAAGTCATGAGTTGGATTCTTGGTGTGACTCACCTTTGTACTGACAACAAAACTTCCAGCTACAGCAAGGCCATGTGTAAAATTATCTATTGAGTTTGCCAACAAGTTTAGATATCCAATAACCTGAAAAACATTGAAAAAAGTCAATGCTTAGATTCAGATACTTTTATTTTAACATTGCCTTAGGTAGGATATCAAAGTATACAAAGTGTGGACAATTTTTTTCAAATTTAGAGGTAACGTTACATTATACACCATGACTCAAGTAAACTTACACACATCACAGGGGGAACAAGGTTATAATTCGGTTTTATCAACTAAGTTGAAATGTAAATTGACCAGCATAAAGAGTTAAAAAGCTGACATTTCGAGCATTAGCCCTTCGTCAGAACAAATGGCAAAGGGCTAACGCTTGACATGTCACCTTTTTAACTCTTTACAGTGGCCAATTTACATTTCAACTTAGTTGATAAAACCAAATTACATGTATCACACCCTAGTGATGGATAATCATAATAAACTAAGCCTTTCTACCCTAACATAAGTATCCATGTTCTCTATACCCTTCTCTAAACATTTCCTTTGGTACCTACAAGGAGAATTTGTTTAACAATCAAAGCTTTTAAGGTTGGTGATCATTTCCTTTACTCTCATGACCTCAACGAATGATTCATGAGTATTACACTGAGGAGAAATTAGATGATGGTCACTTTCATAGTTTATAGGGATAAAACTGACACTTACTTTGACATTTTCTTCCTCTGTGTCTTGTGTTTCTCGATTATCTGTTATTTTAGGAAGACAATTGGCAGATAAAGAACATTTTAATCTAATATGCTACTTCTTTAACAGGCCATTAAGATGAAATGGAGAGATAAAAAATGAGGAAATTATTTCATACAACTACAAGAAGAACCTTCTACCTGTCAAATTTGAGCATTCTCATGACCTTTTTGCTAGAAAATGTATGGATATAATTATTAGAGAGAGAAGGTACATGCACATGCTAGTCAGAACTAAAGGAGTCCTAAGTTTGATACAATCGAATTCTTCTTACCTGCTACTTGAACTGTTTCTTTAGATGCGCTACAGTGACTAGCAGTTTCTCCATGTCTTTGCCTTAACTGTATATCTGACTTTTTAACTTCTCCATTAGAAACTGTCCCATTATGAAGTTCTCCATTGCATACATTTTTTCTCTTAGCCGTGTTTTCATGATTAACACATCCATTGGAAATGGTACCATTCTTGACATCCTTGGAACAAGAATCAACCAAACTTAGACCAAAGTTTATAAAACTATGGTCCACATCATCAAGATACATGTTTAAATTCAGTATAAAACTGGCAGGAGGTTTTGGTAATACAAAAGATATATAAAAATTGATTGAGGCATAGCTAAGAGCAATCCTAATTTTTTCAGTGCTCATCAAACTTTCCAAATGCTTTAAACCTCAATGAAAGCAAAGCTGGTGTATGATCCAATTGTCATATAAAAATTTCGATTCAGGAGTTTGATATGTATGTGCACCTACATGTGGTCTGCATACACAAGCAGGGAATAGTGGGAATAGTGAATATGCTAAGATAATATGCAATTAAATTCGATCATTCGACTACCCTTTGGCTAGTTTCATCAACCCAAAAATAGCTCACAGATGTGTGATTTTCAGGATTTTAAAAGTTTAGATTACAAGTTGCTTTAATCTGCCCATTATATGGCTTGTTGGTTCCTTGGCTTACACTTTTAAAGCAGAGGTCAACCCCTTAACTAGATGATTTCAAGAACAAACAATCTGACTCACCTTTCCTTTGCTGTTGTCTTTCTTCTTGAGATTTTTTTCATCTTCACTTTCTTCACCAAATATTTTTTCTAATGTTAAAAATCCAAAGATTCCAGCCAGCACCCAAAAGCCAATGTAGAAATGATTGGTGTGTGGATCTCCTTTAATGAGAAAAATTCAAAAACAAGTTGAAAATAAAATACATGGATGTACTCCATCTGGATATCTGAGATTCAAGTGGCCAGTTGGTTAACCAGCTTAAGTTCAGGGCCCAGTTTGCATAAAATGTGAATTAACCAATTGAGCTAACCGCCTCCCGGTTAGCTCAATTGGTTAGAGTGCCGGATCGTGTTGTGCGGGAGGTTGAGGGTTCGAGCCCCGGCTGGACCAATACTCATGGTCTTAAAATAACAGAGGAGAATTTGCTACCTTTCTATAATATCAAGAGATGGATAGATATTCTAGTCTTCTCGGATAAGGACAAATAAACCGTAGGCCCCGTCTCCTGCAGGATTGGGGTAGGAGACATTAATTTCCCACACACGAGATTACTGTGTGGTGGATGTCCTCCCCTGGGGTGGGATGGGTGGGTGTTACACAGGGCCCCATTTAAACCAGCTAGTTGCTGAACTGGGCTACCTTGTCTAAATGTTCATAAATACAATACAATAATGCTATCTAACAGATAAATCGCTATTTGGCGAATAGGTGATAGCAAAATGCATAGTGTTATCCAGTGAACAGTGCTATCCAACCTTTGAACAATCAGGACCAGGTTACTGAAGGAAGCAAATGTGGAAGACTTGGGTGGGTCCTTATGTTGTGTTCTTGGAAAAGACACTTTACCCTTACAGTAGTCCTCTCCCCATTCAGGAGCATAAACGCATTGCGGCAAACTGTCAGGAAAGCCTGGTAAAATGTCATGGGGGAAAGAAACCTGCCATGAACTAGCATACCATCAAGAGGGAGATAAGCTCTAAATCTGAACAGATAAGCCACTTGGCCTCATTACTGACTTACACTTGAGCTTTCTCCACCTGGTTGGGCTAGTGCTACTAGAACATATGGTCCAAACATAACCTCTTCTCCTCCATCTCACAGAAAACAAACATTACATTTCCCTGACAGTTCCGTGGTACTGAAATGGTTTACACTTCTCAGTGGAGAGGGGTGTTAGAAAGGTATTTATCTTGTATCTTGTATAAAAAACATCACAAAATACGCCAGCCATAGACAAACACAGACCTATTGATCCACAGAGCAGAGCAAAACCACTGGACTATCACAGCCCTTCAAGGAAGAATTCTGGAGAACTCTGGGGTATCATTAATTTTTCATTAACTAGTGATCATTTTATCAATAAATTAATATTACCTTCATGAACATGAGCCCAAGCCTCTGGCAACAGATGCAGAAAAACATCTCCCAATAAGCCACCAACAGCAAAACTCAACAGCAACTTCAGATGATCTGCAGTGACTGGAAAGTAAGAACAACAAAATGTGTTTCGAAATTACTTTCATTTGCTTTCTTCCTTGGGTGAATAAATCTAATGATTAGTTGTATATATCTATCTAACAATTAGCCCTTTACAACCAAACATTAGCCTCAGTCTGTACTTTCTCTACTTGTCTCTATACATTATCTTTCGTACTGCCAAGGAGAATTGGTTCAGTGATCAAAACTTCTTATGTTGGTGATGATTTCTTTTATACCCATGATCTAAATGAATGAATTGCAAGAGTTGCTGTAAATAGAAATTAGACTCTGATCATGCTATGGATTAAAAGCCGGATTAAAATAACCCTGTGCCCACAACAAACCTCTAAACCTCAAAATGTTAGTGACATAACTGCCCTTGGGGGGCATAATCACTCCACTTTGCGACAACACAACTTGGGAGAACATGACATGAGGGTGACCTGACCTCCATGGTATCTATCTGTTTCAATGTTGTAGCCATAAGGCTTTGCACAGCTCAGTCTAACTAATCCTTAACTATGATCCCCACTTGATCAAAAAATGAAAATCCCTTGGTACTAGATATAAACAATACAACTAAACTGTGAAGATAGATCTAAAGAAGGATTGATATTGTTTGTGAATACGACTAAATGTACAGGAAGGTTTTATATTTCTGGGGCCTCCCAAAGAGACTTTGAAACCCTGACGTATACAGAATATAGAAAAATTATTTAGGAATAGGTCAAGCGTTAACTGAAAAAAAAAATTTAAAAAAAATGAAAAAAATAAAAACTGATACATAAAGCTGAAAATATGTCATAAGATTCAGAGTAAGTTACTTGAGTTCTTGGAGCAACTTCAGAATACCTGTCCACATCATTTACATATGTCGGGAGGCTTTGAAGAATGAGGTATAATACAATAGACGCTATTCTTATTCAATGACATGTAAATGATGTGGCCGGGTATTCTGAAGTTTAGCCGAGTTCGGAGTTCTTTTATCAAAGCTAAGCCCCCGAATTTGGCTGTGGTATTTTCATTCTAAACTGAATTAAAAGAAGAAAAAAATTATTATTTTCTCGTTAATTGTTTACATTTGAGGAAGCCATTGGCTCAAAAGTAGACTGACAAACTCTTTAAGGCGAACCAGCTCATCACTATTCTTGGAGAAAAATTCTCTTTCGGTGTAAATATTGGAAAAGAGTAATGTTCCTGTTTCAAGGCTCTACGTCAGAATGAAACTTGAGACATTTTTCCACAACGCATTACGAAATTTCCACAGTGTCGGTAGCAAAATCGAAAAGTCATGTTATTTTAAACTGATTTGTCTTGCAAATTTGTTTCTCGTCACAAAAACAGGAATCTTCTTTACCGTAATAGACGCCTATAAATAAGGAAAGAATTATCGTTGGCTTAAAGTTTTGAAGATAAACAACGGCAAGATATTTCTGTCACTGCAGAAGTCTATTAAAAAATTCTTGAATACATGTTGCTTAGAAATTATAGGTGCGAAGAAATTGCAGAGTAAAACCACGAAACTTTTTTGGAGGAAACGTTTCCAGGCGTGTGTTTTCATCTTACACTGCTGATACTCAAAATGTTTTAACGTAAATGGAAATCAGATTTAGTAGAAAAGGTACAGAAGTCCACTTTTTCTGGTATAAAAAATATACCTTGAATTTAACGATTAATTGGCGATTCGACTCACGTTACTTTAGCTGTAAAGGAAAATACCGTGTGCGTGAGAACGGAGAAATATCTACAAAGGAGTATTTTCTTTGCTAATATCGAAGCTAACAGAAGATACAGCTGAAAATATAATCTGAGTACCTTGGATAGAAATATTGTTTAAGAATTCGTATGAGTGTTTTTCGTTGAAGGAAATTCTTTACTAGAATGAATTACTGTACGTAAAAACGAGTCGCCACAACAACTCGTGGAAACATTTCATGTCAAGTTCGTTTTGTGTATACCCATTTATTTAGAGAATATCCCTGCAAAAGCAATCTCAAAAACAAACCTTTTACACAGAGGAATAGCGGCATGAGTTATGTTGTACAATGCTCTATTGATTAAAGACAGCTGGTTAAATAACCTCAACACACTGTCCATTTCCCAGAAGAGATCGGTTTCACCACTCTGTTAAATTCACAATCTTTGTTTGATTAAATTGTAAGCTAAAAGTTGTTTCCTCGACTACCATACTGCAAAATCTTAAAAAATGAGGCTGTTGGAGATAAGATCCAAAAGGATTCCTCGAGCTTTGATTACTAAGGAAACAAATGCTGTGTCGAATTTGCTTTAAGCGAACGACAAAACCTTGGTATTTCTGTCCGCAGAAAAATCTATAATATACTACCAACTCACCGCCTTCTCGCAAAGCTTGTCCAGCTTCCACAGGGATCACAAGAAGCGGAAATATACCGCACATTCCCACTAGAATTGTGGCCGGAATCGAGTACAACCACGCTTCTTTCTTCATGAAAATCTTCGACAAATCGGGCAGAAATTTACAGGGTTCAAAACCAAGCCAACTCAAGTCTGAATCTGCGCGCGTTTGCTTCCCATTTCGCGGCACAGCTCGATGAATTTTCACCATAGCAGTCTCTGAAACGAATACTGAGAGCCATAGAAGGAACACAATGGATATCCGTGAAAATTTCGCCATGATCCAAGCAATTTGTGGGAGCACCTCACCCCGCACGCCTTGTTTCCGGACTTCTGAAAAGTGCTGAGTACGATTGCCACGGGTGTTTTTGAGGTTAAAACCTGAGCCCACAGTACATAAGGTAGGTCCGCAATGCGTAGGAAGAGCCACTTTCTCCCTTTTTAACAAAAGTTAGCGAATTTAATTTTATCTACCTCTGATGGTAACTTAGCAAAACTTACAATCAAAAAATTATTTCCTTGGTTGGTGTTCAAACATCTGCCGATCCACCAATTCTCATTAAATTTATTCTAATGTGAAAATCAACCAGACAACCCGACGACAGTTGGCGTCACTCAAAAGAAACACTTTGGAACAAAGAACCCAAATATGAATCTTAATTGCGTCAGCAAATTTAAAAATTTGGCCTAAAATGCTTAAAAAATTAATTTTGGCAGTGAAAATGAACTAATTGTTTTAGGTGGTATTTTTTTTCCGTGTCATTCTACCCCATTTAAAAGGTTTAAATCTACGTTTCGCCGTTTTAATATGAAAATGGCTGCCGAGAAAACTAGCGTCTTTAAAGTGTTATATCTACTAGCTCTTATGATTTCACTTAGGCGAAAATTTCTTCTGTAGAATGTACATTTGAAACTTCTTAAATTTCCATTAACGATCAAACTTGCACGCGCCAGAAACTGCAGATGTCTCTTAAATCTCTTGTTTTCTCCCAGCCCCCGCAGAGATTGCAAAATTACATTCTGCACAGTTAGTTAATTTTTTTGTTGTTGCTTCATCTGGCATTTCTCACCGAGACGTAAGTTCACTCTTTTAAGACTTTGATATACATAACTTTAATGTACGTGGGTTCAATGTGGACGTAAGTGACAAGAAACTTGACAAATTTTAAGCTTCTCACTTAAATCCCTGAAACGTTTGCTAAGTGCGAAGAGGAAAAATTTGAAACTTCTGTCATTAAGAATGGGATCAAACCTTACGTTTACATGTACTACTTATGCAAATAATCGTAGATGTCACGGAAATCTGTTTTCTCACACCACGGCAGCCTTGCCCCCGCAAAAGAAAAATCGATTTCCAACTGATTTCAAGGCACACTTTTTCTGACGCATAGTTTATTGAGGCAGCTAATGGTATCCTGTATTTTATGTAAACCTGAAAAATAACAAGTCATTCGCAGCTGGTTTGAAGCGGTGTTTGTCCCCTGCCAAAGGGTTCTTTAGATATTTTTTGTACTTTTTCTATAAATTGCAAAATTAAGAAATAACTAAAACAATGGGGATAGATTGAAATTACAGTCCCCTTGTTTCTCGTCTAGTTTTGATTTTGAAGAAAGATATTCCAATCTGTTATTGGTGTTCGATAAAAAGAAACTTCCAGTGGCCGGCTTCTATACTTGAATTCATATCAATAAAAAAATGATTAACATCACATGATAGGATCTTCTTTCGTACCTCTAGGTCATTCCAGGCACGTTTTTGGATGTAAATAAGTTACCTTTAATTCTCCATCGTAAGATAATGAGTTTTACGTTTTTTGTGATCTCGTACAGGCATTCCTTGTTTCGGATCGTTATCAAACCTCATTCCCAGGGCCTTTTCTCTTAGTCGGGGATGGGACGTCATGATAAGCCCTGAGAACGAAGTAGACCATTATTATGACAGTAAGTTGGTAGTCAAACTTATGAACCGGTCTTTTCTCATCGCCTGAGGGGGGGGAGGGGGGAGGAGAGATTGGGGGATTTTCGGGGTATTACACTGTTTTTAGGGGGAACAGAGGGGAGGTCAGTCGTCGTTAACAGAGTATAAAGGGGGAACTATAGAAAAAACTGACCGCCAATGAGGCAGGGGAGGGGGTCAATATAATACAAAGCGTCAGGGGAAGATCAGCTAAATTTTACTGTGTCACAATCAAATCTTCCGACCCGCCCTAAGAGGGGGAAGGAGAGATCGGATAATTTTTAGGGGTAGCGAGTAGTCTCTGCGAGCAGTTTGCGAGCATGCTAGCAGTGTGTTTATTTTTCCGAGCACGAGCACGTTGTCAAATTTTTCTTGCGAGCATGCAGCGAGCACTTTAGAAAAATACAGATGGCGAGCAGCGAGCACTTCGAGTACTTCGTAAATTTTCCGCAAGCCGGAATCTCTCTTTTATTAATAGGATACGTTGTTTTCTGGCTGACACTTCCAAA